TTCCTGTTTTTAGGGTATTTGGAGTCAGATGGGACAGCTTACCGTTGGAAGCCGTGGGTCCCTGGAATTCCTGTCCTCACATTTGACCTTTTCCCTTAAAATTGCCTCAGGCCTACTCACTAGACGTTTCAGGCTTGTTTAACTTTTTCATGAGGCTCAGTTCTAGCTGACATCCGGAGGCAGTTCATGGGAGGGGACGTGTGGACCAAGTCAATGCCAACTTTCCTTGTATCCTGACTGTAATCAGTTACTTCCTTGCAGTAACCAGAGTCAGACAGTGCCTGGTTACATGTTTCTGTTTCTGGTTTGAAGGATCCCTTCAGCTCTCTACTCATTGATAAAGGATGATTGCTCCTGATCCTATTGGTTGGACAAGACATTGCGTTTCTCTCTCCTTAGCTTTCCTTTCTCTCCTAAATCTTTTCCACATCTTCATAGGTACCTTGGGGAAGGATGATCCAAAATTATACTTCCATAGTTTTCCATTTTCAAAACTACTTTTATTCCCCAATGAATGTGCTCTCACAGCTAATGTTTGAAATTAGAAGTTAGACCTTCTGATTCCTAGACTAGTGCCATTTTCATGTCATAATACTTTTGAAGATTTAGTGACTTTTGGAAATCTGTGATTGACTTAGTGATACTTATTATGGTACTTAATTATTAATCATTGTGACACTTAATTGTGTTCTAAATCAATTTCTCTCTTTTCCTTGATGGTCTAAAAGCCTTGTAAGAATTGTCTTACACATTTTTTGGTCACTTTATCCTTGATCATTTTTTCCAGACGTTTACAGTCTGGCTTTGACATCTGTCACCTTTACTCAGGCTATAATTGCCCTAGAAATTTCTTTGTGTCCTAGAAATTGATACACCCACTGATTTAACTGAGTTCTACCTTCCTGGATCTTTTTTTTAAATTTAAACTTTATTTTCTTGTGTAAAGTATTACAAATACTAGTACGTATGTCTCCTTTTTTCCCCATTGACCTTCCCCTGGCCTCCCCTAAACCCTGGCACATGCCTTGACCCCACCCCCGCAGTGTCTTGTGTCCATTGGTTATGCTTGTATGCATGCATATAAGTCCTTTGATTGATCTCTTAACCACGTCCCCTCAATCCTCCCCTGCCTTCCCGCTGATGTTTGATGGTCTGTTGTAACATTCTTATAAACAATCTGGCAGCTTGGAGTGTCTCTGCCGGTCACGTATGAATTCCTTTCCCATGCCCACCCCCCCGCACCTCGCCACCGCTTTCCTAAAACTGCCTCTCCTGTCTCTAAAATCCTTTCAACACAATATAGATATTGCCTCATACAAAATTACTTTAGATGCTTTTCACCCTCAATATACCTATTTTAACAATTTTAAACAAAGAAATA